ATAAGACTACACAAGGAGGATGCTTGGGGATTTTATAGAATGGAGTTCAATGATCTTATGCAGCCTACAGATTGGCGATCTGCTTTGAGCTACTGATTCCTTGTTTGTATAATGAAAAAAATAGGTCTTACTTTTCAGGGCTGCTCTTAAAAATTTGGAGCATTTGAAACAAAATCAAAGGAACTCAGTAGAAATTTAATAACTGCTATCTGCTTTATTGTAAGTCTTTAAGATTTTTTTTTATTCCTTTTTAAGGTTTTTTTTTAAAAATTTGTATGTGTGTGTGTGTGTGTGTGTGTGTGTGTGTGTGTGCCTGTGGAGGCCATAAGAGGGAGCAGATCCCCTAGAGCTGTAGATATAGATGATTGTGAACCCTATGAGGTAGCTGCAGAGGACTAAACTTAACTTCTTGTCAAAAATAGCAAGTGTTGTTCTGGGGGCTAAAGAGATGGCTGAGTGGTTAAGAGCACTGACTGCTCTTGCAGAGGACCAGGTTCTATTCCCAGCACCCACATGGCAGCTACAAACTGTCTTTAACTCCAGTTCCAGGGGAATCTGAAGACCTCTTCTGACCTCCGTGGCATTGCACGATACAGGCGCACTCACATACATGCAGGCAATACACTCATACACATTAAAAAACAAAACTAAACAAAGAAAAACAGCAAGTGTTAACTACTGAGCCATCTTCCCAGCTCAAAGACTGTTTTCTTAAGAGTACACAAAGAATTTCAAGTCTGTAGTTTGTAAAATTTATTTTATTACATTTATTTAGCTTGTGTGTGTTTGTGTTTGTGTGTGTGTGTGTGTGTGTGTGTGTGTGTGTAGTGATATACGCTTGCCACAGCACATGTGTGCTGGTCAGAGAAAAATTTTTAGGAGTCATTTCACTCCTTCCACTATGTGGATCCCAGGATTTGAACTCAGGCTGTCAGACTTGGTGGCAAGTGGCAATTACTCCAGCCCCCAAGTGCATATTTGAAAGAAATTTTTTTTCCTGACAAACTAGAAAGCCCACCTGGACTTGCTTAAACAGTCCATTCTTGTCTACTCAGGGGATGAGTGTTCTTTCCCTAGCTTGGTTATCTATGTCACCTTCCAAATCTACAGGGAACATTTACTTATTTCATGCCTGAGTTTGAAAATGTCCCTCCAAAATTCAGCCATTGAAAATCAATCACCATGTGATGGGTAATAGTTCTAAGAGAAGGTGCCTCTAAGAAGTGGTCAGGGGCCCAGCAAGATGGCTAGTGGGTAAAGGCACTTGCTGCCAAGCCTGAGGACCTGAGTTCAATCCTGGAGACATACATGGTGGAAAGAGAACAAACTCCTCCATGTTGTCCTCTAGTTTCCACTCACAAGCAATAGTACATGTAAACCCCCTCTAAATAAATAAATAAATAAATGAATAAATAAATAAATAAATAATGCAAGTAAACAAGCAAGAAAAATAATTCATGAGGGTTCCCCCACTTACTAAGAGGATACAGGTCTTTACACAGCTCTAGGCTCATTTGTCCTTCTGGCCTCCTCCGTATGCAGACAGTGTCCCTCCTCTCCTAAAGATTCGGCAAAACACCATCTTGGTGAAAGAGCGGCCCTCAGCAGCAAACCCATGGCACCTTGATTTTAGACTTCTCAGGCTCTAGATCTATGATACGAAGATTTTGTTATTACAGAATAAACATAGTAATACACTTCCTAATTACATTTTTTGTATGTTTTGTGTATGTGTGTGTGTGTGTGTAAATGCCTGTGATGTGTGTGTGTGTGTAAATGCCTGTGAAGGCCAGAGGTTAATATTGGGTATCTTTCTTTCTCAATTGCACTCCACCTTGTTATTTGAAACAATGTCTTTCACTGAACCTGGGGCTTAGCAATCTGGCTAGACTGGCTGGCAGCAAGCTTCAGGGATCGTCCTGTCTCTACCACCCCAGGCTGTGATTACAGTTGCACAACACTGCATTTGAATGCTCCCCTGGTCCTGACCATTGAATGCATGGTTGGTCTAGACACCGAGTCTCATTCTTGAAAGACAAATACTTTGCTGACTGAGCCATCCCCCCCACTCCATCTCTAATTGCATTCTTAATGCCTTGATTTCTCCCTCTAAGGTGTTCCAAGGTCTTTTTGTTTGCCATGTTTCTGGCCCAACTCTTTATTTGGTATTCGTCTATGTGCATAGTCTGTTTGGGCTTGTGTTGTATAGCTTCACTGTCAACTTGACACATCTGGGTTGAGGGAGTCTCAATGGGGGAATTGCCTCCATATACCTGGCCTGTGTCCATGTCTGTGGGCCATCTTCTTGATCATTGAGTGATATGGGAGGGTCCAGCCCACTGTGGGTAGTGCCACCCCTGGGCAGATGGGCTTGTGTTGCATAAGAAAGCAGGCTGAGCAGGGACCATGGGGGGAAGCCAGTAAGCAGTGTTCCTCCATGACCTGTGCTCCACCCCCTGCCTCCAGTTTCCTGCCCTGAGTTCCGACTTTGTGCTCCCTGATGAACTGTGACCTGGGAGATGTAAGATTTAAAAAAAATCCTTTCCTACCCAAGTTGGCATTGGTCAGAGTATTTTGTCACAGCAATGGAGAAACAAACTAGGACAGGGCTTATCATTTCCATCAGTACTTCTAGGAAGAAAGCAGTTAGCCGATGCAATTATTGACAATAAGCCCAACATTTAAGTGCAGTACAAAACATATACTTACTTCAGTTTCAATAAGGTCTGGAGGCAGAGAAGATAGAATGTTATTAAAAAATTGTAGTTAAATATTTTTAAAGCTCAGAGCATTCATAATTAAGAAGTAAAAAATTATGGAACCAGGAAAGGAGAAAAGTGGGGATAAGGATGGATGAGAAGGAATGCATGGGCCTGAACAAATGGCTCAGCTGTGAAGAGCACTTACTGTTCTAGCAAGGAACTAAATTTTCATCTGGTCAGTTTGCTTCAGCGGCCTTCCTCTTTCATCTGCAGCCTGTTGTGATTATGTTATTGTCAACGTGACTGAGCCTAGAATCACTGGGGAAAGGGGTTTCACAGAAATTATCTAGATCAGTTTTGCCTGTGGGCATGTCTATGGGTACTGTCTTGACAGCTTTAACTGATGTGGGAGGGCGCAGTCGGGAAGTAGGCAGCACTGTTCTCATGACTCAGCTCCCGGGCTGTGCTGTATGAGTGGAGAAAACTAGCTGAGCACTAGCGTGCATGCATTCATTTCTCTCTGCGCTTGACTGTGGATGTGCTGTGACCAGCTGCTTTGAGCTCCTGTTGCTGTGAGCTCAATAGTGATGGACTCGAACTTGCAATTTTGAGCTAAATAAATCCTTTCTACTCTATCTTTTTCATGATCTTTTAGCACAGGAACAGAAATGAAACTACTTCACAGCCCAGAGCAGGAGGAGAGTGACTCTCTCCCTTTCCTTCCATACACTCAGCACTCTGAAATGGACCCCATTGTTTTCCTTGTAGATGTAACCTTCTGTATTTCTGGATTTTATCTATTTTCTCAGTCTACTGTTCATTTACCCCTTGCTTGTCTCTCCATAACCCTCACCTTTCTTTCCACACATGGAGCAGGTGCTTTGATGTCAGATTCCTGGGGATGCAGGAGAGTGCTGTTTGCCTCTGTTCTACCTTCTTAGGATCTTTCTTGCAGTACAGTCTTATACATGTCTGTTCCACGTACATTTGATTCATTTCCTTTAGATGAATATTTTTTAATGAAATTGATAAGCCATAAGGTTGTCATAGATTTAAAAATAAACCATCAAATAGTTTGCCAAAATATAGGCTGATGAGTGGGTAAAAGTAATTGCTGCTAAGTTTGAATACTTGAGTTCAATTCTCAGAGCACACATGGTGAAAGGAGAGAATCAACTCCCTCAAGTTGTCCTCTGACCTCCACATGTGTACCATGACAGGCTTGTGCATGCACACATACAACACACTTCATGCATACACACAATAATAATAATAAAATACATAGTTAACTAGATGGATGTAGTGGCTAATGGTTTGAATCCCAGAACTTGGGAGATTGACACATAGGATTGCAATGAATTTAGTTCCAGGCCAGCTTGGGATAAGAGTGAGAATATAAGTCAAAAAACAGGACAAAATTAAATTAATATTAAAGTTTACCAAATGTTCATAATGTTTACATTGATATTAGCCACATTTAGAGTTTTGGCACTTTTGCTCTCTCATAAATATTTGGCTTGTTTATTTAAACTATCCTTGCGTATTTGCAAAGGAGTATTTTACTGACATCAATTAGGATGTTGTATATGAACTTGTTATTTTTCTGTTGTGATAAAACACAATGAACAAAAACTAAGGAAGAAAAATAATTACTTAAGCTTAGAGTTCCAGAGTGATAGAGTCCATCATGGAAGGGAAGGCATGGAAATGCATGGGGAGGAAGCAGAGATCACATTTCATTCACACATAGGAAACACACAGAGAGAACAGGAAGTGGGTCTAGGATATAAACTCTAAAGCCTGCCCTCACTGGCATACTTTCTCTAGCAAGGCTCAGTCTCCAAAAGCTTTCATAACCTCCCCAAAACAGAACACCATCTGGAGACCAAATGTTCAAACACATGAACATATGGGGGGAGGGACTTTCATCATCAAAGCTCCACAGTGTGTAACTGTATAAATCAATGAGCCATGGAGGGAGAATTTGGGTTAAACAGAGTGGAAAACTTTGAGAAGCTAATATCTAAGTGTATGAGACACTAAGAGAGGCCAAAGATAATGTCATATTAGTATGAAAGCCTTCCAGTAAAGATGAGAAGAAATCCAATGTATTTTAGCCATTCTTTGAAAAGATTAAATCATAAAATCGGAAACCCAAGTCATTCTTAAAAGTAAGTCAACACTGATGGGAATTTTGGAGCAAATACCTTGGAACTAAACATATTTTATCATTTTATTTGTGGAGGCTCTAGGTTTAGATATAGTTTTCCTGCTATAAAAAATCATACATACAGGTACTCACTTACCTGGCAGAGGAGACACCATATTCAAGAAGGTGGTTTTCAAAGGCTAGCTCATTCATTGTACTTAGGTTGTGCTGACCCCTATAATGTTCCCCAAATGTGGGAAAATCAATTGCATAATCTGTGGTGGTAGGAGACTCTGTTCATGCTTCCTTCTGATAATGATGATATGTAAAAAGATAATTATAGAGCTCGAGATATGGCTCAGTGGGTAAAAGCACATGCTGCTCTTGCAAAGACCCAAGTTCAGATCCCTACACCCACATCCAGCAACTCACAACTACCTACAACTCCAGCTCCAGATCTGTTGCCTTCTGACCTCTGTAGACTCTGGTATACATGTTGCACATGTATACCAATGTTGCCCCCATTCACATAAATAAAACAATCTTTTGAAAATGAAAAGTATAAACATTATGTAATTTAAAATGCATTGATTTATTTTTAATTCATTAATTGATTTTTATTTTATGTGTACGAATATTTTGCTTGAATGTATATGTGTACCAAATGTGCACTATGCCTGTGGAGGCCAAAAGAGCATGTTGAATCCCCTAGAACTGGAGTTATGAATGGTTGTTAGGTGACATGTGAACGCAGGAAGCCAAACCTGGGTCTGCTACAAGAGCAGTCAGTGCTTTTTACTGCCAAACCATCTCGCCAATACCTCATTGTTTTTCATTTTGATATAGCTACAATCTGTTCCTTGGCTTCTGGCTCAGCTGTTTACAACATGTCTATACTAAATACAAATACTTCTGACAGTTTCTAATGCAAAAATTCTAAGCTGAGCTCTATTTCTTTTACATATGGTACCCAGGTTGCGTCCAATTGGTAAATGATTGTGTAGTAAAGGCACTGACACAAGGAAGCTCACATTATAATTTTTCTCACCGTTATGCAGCCAGTCTAGGGAATACAGATGAAGAGTGAAAGAGTTTGTATATCTCAGACATTCACTCTGTGGAATGTGTGGTGTGTGTTTGTGAATACAGTCTTGAGCATTTCAAGAGAAATGTCCATGGAACCTTAGAGAGAAAAGAAATATCACTTATGCAGGTTACTCAGTTAAATAAATAAAAATGAACAATTGATTAACATGATGTGAAATGTCAAGTTCATCAGTATTTTTTGTTATTTATTTTTATTTTTAAAATATTTTATTTGTGTTTTATTAAATGTATGTATTTGAGTACTCTTCTCTGTGTACATGTGTGCATACACATGCACATGTGTGTGTGTGTGTGGAGGTGTCATTCCTCAGCACCGACAACCTCCTTTGAAAAAGGGTCTCTCATTGACCTAAAGATCAATTAGGCTAGGCTGGCTGGACAATGAGTCCCAGAGACATACCTGTCTCTACTTCCCCATTGTTGGGGTTACATGTACATGTATACTGCCCCTGACATTTTTACAAGGTTTTTGGGGAGGGTACTCAGTTCCTCATTGCAAAGCATTTTACCAACTGAACCATCTCTTCAGCCAAAGTTCTTTAATTTTAAAATATTTTATTTTTATTTTATGTGTATGAGTATATTTCTTGCATGTATATAGATACACCCCTGTTGTACAATGCCTGTGGAGGTTAGAAGAGGGCATTGGAGCCCCTGGAACTAGGGTTAGAAGCAGGTGTTAACTGCCACATGGGTGATGGGAACTGAACCTGGATCCTCTGCAAGATCAGCCAATGTACTTAGCCTTTAAAAGAACAAAACTGTGTAAACAAATTTCAAACAGGATTTGTACAATCATGGAACTTTTTCAGTTTCTTTTTTCCCAAGAAGGGATATATAATTTCTTTGTTTTTTTTCTGAACAATAATCTGATGCAGAAACAATTGAAAAGATATTTGAAATATTTAAAAGACATGACTTAGCACTCAAAGCAATAGTGGAGAAAAAAAAGGATGGATTAAACAAAGAGAATGAAAACTTTTGAATAGCTGTTTTGGTGGCAAGTGAGTAGCTATTTTGATTTTTTTTGAATATGTGAATTTATATAAAATGATCTTTTTGTATATTTTTATTGATTTTTTGTGTATTTCATACAGAACAGCTTAATCATCTTTGTGCCACTTCCCCATCTGCACTCTCCCATGCTCCTCCCACCGTACTTCATGAATTCGGTAATTTGTGTGAAGGCCTGTCAAGTTAAAATGACATTTTTTGATGTTGTGGCTATTACCAATATTAACTCCCAGTAAGGCAGACAAAATATATTTTCTAAAACCCACTATCTTATGATCAACTTATTCCTTTATTTTTGCCAAGAATTTATCACTTATTTATCATCTATCAATCATTTACACAGCATAAATCAACTGCCATCTATCAATCATCTATCAATGTATCTCTTTTAAAATATTTTATTTTTTATTTTATTTTATATATATTAACATATTGTTTGCATTCATGTAAGTGCAACTGTGTTTTGCAATGCCCATGGAGTTCAGAAAAGAGTGTCGACCCCTTGAACTGGAGGTATAGACAGTTGTTAACCAGCATGTGGATGCTGGGAATCGAACCTCAGTCCTTTGTAAGAGCAGCCAGCACTCTTAACCACCGAGCTCTCTCACCAGCACCATCTCTCTATCTTTAATTATTAGAAGTTTGACTTATTTTTCACATTTTTCTGAATAGTCTTATATGAATTTAAGAGCTAATCTTTGGCTAAAGAAGTTACCTATATATACATTTGCATATATACACATTTAATAGGAATTAAGAAATTTACTTGAAATTTAATTTGCCTGTACAACTTATCTGCAAAAATTAGATTAATACAACCATAAGATACCATTAAATTCTCCCAAGAAATCTATTTTTTAAATGATTGACAACATGAGGTATTAGAGTGTTAAGCAAGTGTTTCAAGAAGCTAGAAATGTCATGCATTGCAGTTGAACATTATAATATCACAGATACTTTGGAATTATATTTAGCAGTATTTACTAAATACAACCCATGCTAAGGATGTATATGCCATAAAGCAGAATGTATGTGTCTCCTAACAAGTAAGAACAGACTAGCTTTATTCATAATACCAGTTGCAGTTTACTACAGGCTCCATAAGTTAAAAAGATAGACTGTGGAATGTTTCAGAACATAGACTGTTGCACAGCAGGAAAATCAATAATTTGATAATTTTACAAAGATATGAGCTGGGGAGATTGCTCCATGAGTAAAGTCCTTGCTGTGCAAACATGAGGGCCTGAGTTCAGATCCACCCACATAAAAACCTGGTTGTGCACCTTGTAATCCCAGCACTAGAGAGGCTGACATAAGAGTAGCCCGGCAGTTTGCTCACCCAGCCAGCCTAGTGGGGATGCTGTCTCAAAAACTGAGAAGTGACTGAGGAAGACATCTGATGTTGATCTCTGGCCTCCATACAGCATGGGTATGCATACGCACATGTGTGCACATACATATCCACACAACGTTAAAATAAAATAAATACAATAATAACATGGATGAATCTCCCGACATTGCCATTATGTTGAACAAAATGTCATCACAATGCAATTCACACCATATGATCCAGTTGTGAAGTTCCAGAAGAGGCAATTGTGCTCTGCAGTGAAGTGAGAATGATGGCTCTCTTCCATGGAAAACTGAGGGTGAACAGACTCAAGTTTTCACTCTCAAGCATTATAGTAGGGATTTTTTAGCTGTGAATATTGAAGAACAATGTATATATTAAGATTTATAAACTCAACAAACTTTTTAATGCTGCATACTGTTAAAATTTGGACCAGATTGCTGATTAGGCCAGGTGTCCTAGAGCAGCCATAGCCTCTCACAGGCACTGACAGGTACCCCACCAAGAGCCCTGAATGTGAATCTCTAGCTAACACACCTCCAGGTGCCCTTGTTTCAGCACATTAGAGGGCCACCTGTGGCTACTATGAACACATATCCCCTTCCCCAACCCCTTCCCTGATGTCTGCTGGGAAATCAGACACACCAGCTATAGACTCCTGCTGTGAAGCCCATGACTTCCTCAGGGACCTATAAGATGGGACCCCACCTCTACCTCTTGAGTGTGATACCTTTTTAGAGCCCTAGCATCCTGTATATCTGTCTCTCTGTCTTTGGCACTAATAACTCATCTATAATTGTTAACCTCTAGTATCCATTCCAGTGACTCCCTTGAGCTCCACCTTTGAGACCTTTCAAAATACCCCCCTTTCAGTTTCTTTTTTTCTTAAAAGAGTGAACATGTGATAAGTTGTCAAGGCTCAAATACTTCAACAAAGGAAATGTGGGACTGAGTAGATGGCTTAGTGCATAAAGAGCAGCTTGGCTGCCCGTATCTGTAACCCCAGTGCTGTGGGGAGTGGAGACTGTGTTACTAGCTTCAGGTTCAGTGAGAGACCCTGCCTCAAGGGAATAAAATGAAGAATGATAGAGCAGGACACTTAACATTTTCTGACTTCCATACACATATGTATGGGTACACATTCTTGCACGCACATACACACATACACGCACAGAGAAAATTTGTACTTGTGTATGGTCAATGCCATGGGTAATTTACATAATAACAGTTTGTCCTGCTTCAGTTTAAAATTAGTAATGATTTGTGAAAAATTACTTTTAAATTTAAATGAAAGAAAGGTCCTACTTGAGAAACAGTCTCAACTTGCATCCATGCTATGCATAGAAGAAACTATAGGCTGGTTTATTCTTTGAGGGCTTCAGTCTATTATCACATCATATGATTAGGGTACTGGATTAATTACTGTTCTCAGTGCTCTGACAAAATATCTGACAAAAGCAGCTAAATGAAAGGGTTTGTTTTGATTTATAGTTTTAGAGTGCAGTCCATCCTGGTGGGAAGTCATGGCAGCAGAAGCGTGAGGCAGCCAGTCACATTGTAGCCACAGACAGGAAGCAGAGAGAGATGGATGCTGGTGCTCAGCTAGCTTTCTCCTTTTTATTGGGTTCAAGAATCCAACCTATGAGATGTCACTGCCCACATTTAAGGTAGGTCTTCCAACTTCAGTTCACTTGATCTAGAAACTCCCCCAGACATGCCCAGAGGTTTGTCTTCTACATTATTCTTGATCCTCTATAAGTTGGAAATCAATAATAATCATCACAGATAATGGATTACTTTGTCTCAAGGATAATAAATTTTTTAAAGTTCAGTTTAAGAA